ACACATTGTTGCAGTGTGTTTTGAATTTGAATTATGTGTTATTTATATTTGTAAATACGTTTTGTTTTTTTTCATGATGTGATATCTGATCTGGATCTGGTGCTCATGTCGGCTGATTAGCTTCAGATTCCTTGTAGCCTGTGTGCCTCTGCCGTCTGAAGGATTCGGGGAAATAAAGCTTAACAACTGGGCGCCCTTTGTGTAGTTCCTGTCTCCTACCAGCAGGCGTCTCTGTATCATCCTCAGGAAACATCAGCCAACAAACCAAGTGGACAGTGTTGGAAATGGCAACTAAAAAGGGATTTTTCTATATATAAATAATTAATTAAAATGCTTCGGAAAAATATAAAATCATTGCAGTTTTATTTTTTAAAAAGTTAATGAAAAATAACGAGTTTGTTAAATTTTACAAAACGGCATTTTTTATTTTTTTTTTAATTTGAAGACGCTTAAGTAATATTTGTGTCTATTTCTGCACACACCTGGGCCATAACGCAACCTTGAAAATCGGAAACAAAACCACACTGGACAGACTGACAGACTTTAAACTGTTTTGAAGCAGCCACAAATTCAAAAAAACCCCAAAATGCACCCATTTGCTGATTTATGACCTCTTAGACTTAGCTGCTCTGCAGCTCACGTGAGTTTTAATGGCTATTTCTCTCTTTGTTCATCAAAACATCACTTTCTTCAATAACTCTTAAAACCACCCAAAATGTGGAAAAAAATTATGCCTAGCCGGTCAATATAAAATAAATTGTACCAATGCTCGCTCACATATTCTTCCAGAACATATTTAACTTGTTTTCTTTGACACTCTTTTTTTTTTGTTTTATTAGTTATTAAGTCTTCAGCTCATGATTGAACCATAACTAAAGGAAAGTGTGGAAAGAGAGAGGTCGATGTGGAAAACTTCATTGCTGTGTTGTTGTGACTCTGTGTCCATGAACTTAAGATCCTCAAGATTGGCCCTTTTCTTTAATCTTCAGTGAAACTCTTAGCTAGATCTTTAAAAGCTGGATCATTGTAAATTTTTATAAGTACAATTTCACCTTTTCATTATTACCTCCATGTTGAATCCAGAATACAATTTAAAATTACAATTAATGGCCTTAATGATCAGACGGCATCATATGTAAAAGATCTCACTGTTCCTTGTGTTCCTAATGAAGCCCCTCAGCTTTGTTGGTGCTTCCCGGAGTTTTCTGAAAGTTGAAAACGTTTGTTGAGTAAAATGCCTTGAGATGACAATTTACTAAATCTATGTAAAACAACAACAACAAAACAACCGATTACATTCCCACGAGATGTTAGAGGGAAATTTTACAAACTTGATATCTGCCAGAAGAGCATTTCACAGAAAACCAACTCATTAAACTACTAAATGCGTTTCATTGTTCCAGTGAAATTCCGGCTCCCAGACGCCGATTGAAGGCAGACTCAAACTGAGCGTGGGTGACAGGCAGGCAGGCAACGTTAACCCTGACTGAACACTGCAAGCAGAAAAGCCATGGATGTTGGACGCAGATGCTGTCGCTCCATGAAGCCGATGCAGATTTCTGCTCAGAGCCAAAAGCAGAGGTGGAATATTCCTGAAGTGAGTCCCTGTCGGGGGGCAGGAGTCGATCAAGCGGGCCCCTCAGAGAGGGCTAAACAGTGAGAACTCTGTGGGGCAGTGTGTGACCTTCCCTGACCCAAGACCTGCAGTCCTAATGGAATGTACACTCTTAATCTGACCAACTCTGCTGCCCCCTGCTGGATATCTAATGTTTATTGTATTTTATGTTTTTCTGGACATTGTTAATAAAAGACATTGTTGTGAACTGAACCTACTGCTGTTTCCCTCTGTCTGTGTGTCAAACATGGTGGATTGAAAGAAACTGTCTGAAAATCAAAACTATTTGCACCTGCTGATCATTAAACACTTTCCCGTAAGTGGAAGAGATCAGTGCCAGAATCGGGCTGAAGTTTTGATGAAACGTTTTCAGGATGTAATTTGGTATCTGTGCATGAGCCAGAAAACATCTTTCATGTGCGGAGGAGCAGCACCTGAAGTGGTCTGTCACGGGATGACGGATACTGAGAACACAACTGCATCATCCTCAGAGGAACTGGTCAAAGTTTAATCAGACAAAGACAGTGAAACATCCGGAAGGGTCATCTTCGGGTCAACGCCTGCTGAAGCGATGCAAAAGGGCAAAAAAATAAAACCCAAACTTTGTTGGCCACATGTGCCTACTTGCTACGTTTGACCCACACTACGACTGAACGGCAGAGGCAGAAATTTTATTCAGAAAATTCTAATGTTGTAGTTTCTTGGACAGACCTGTTCAGGAACAAAACGGGTAGCTTTAAAAGGCTGTAAAAAAAAATGGGAATGAGTCCAAAAGTTTAAAATCAACTCTGAAGCCGGTTAAATGGGATTCTTGGCCGGGAACAACAATCAGGATCACCAGCCAACGTACAAGGCACATCCAAAAAATTATGTTTGACACAGAAACCACTAAGTACGTCCAACAGAGAGCCTCAGACATGATGTCCAAACCACCAGCCCACGTTAGCTCCTATACTGCTGCCAGTGTCTTCATTAAGGCAATCCTGAATCTTTCAGTTTGGATGTTTCAAGTAGGATCTCCACTCCTGGGATTATTAGCCATAATATGTATTTTTTGTTCCACTGTCCAGTGAAATTGTCTGATAATCATCTCCCAGCAGCTTCCCTCAGGTCATTGCTGATACTTTCCCAGCTTGACATTGAGTTAAAAAACATTTAAAACATTTTGTGAGAGTTGCAGAATTCACTCCACCGGGAATTTTTTGTAAATCCACGCAAACGTTCCCTGCCACACATGCACACACACACACACACACACGCACACACACACACACACACACACACACACACACACACACACACACACACACACACACACACACACACACACACACACACACACACACACACACGCAAGCAGCCTCCCAGTCACTAACTGGTATTACCTGACGGCAGCAGGTTGCGTATGTTGGCACACATTTCAGCAGACCGTAGTGGCACGTCTGGCTTTCAGGGCTCTCTGCAGATCACCTTTACAGTGGCAGACAGGTGGAGGCATGCGCATATGATCTGAGTCATCAGACAGCATTATCAGCCGTCAGACACACTCAGCTTCTGGAAGCTTATTAATAGTAAAGAGAAGCGGTGAAAACTTGGAAGCCTCCTCGATTGTCTGATGTTCCCTGTGCTGTTAAGAGAATCTCCTCAGACAGCAGTGTCTTCAGAAGACACTGCAGTGTCTTCTGACAGCAGTATCTTCAGAAGACACTGCTGTGTCTTCTGTCTTCAGAAGACACTGCTGTCTGCTGCTTTGGTTCATGTCTTCTTCAGTCCGAAGACGAACTGGAGTGGAACGGACTCCGCTGAAAACGCCTTGATTCTTCACCTGTCTTACTCATTCTGTCTGTCTGAACCCGACCCAGGTTTGTGACGGGTTGTTAGCCTGGCACCCTGCGGTGTGTTTTGCATTCATCAAAGCTTCAGTTACAGCTCAGAAAACAAGGGAGAGACAGAAATTCTCATAATTTTGTAAATACTTTAAATTCATCTTCTTACATCGTTGCTCCTAGTGGGGTCGGGAGGTGCTGGTGCCTATCTCCAGAGAGACGTTTCAGGCGAGAGGCGGGGTACACCCTGGGCAGGTCGCCAGTCTGTCGCAGGGCAAAACAAAGGCTAACAACCATGCACACACACACACACTCACACCTTTAGAGAAACCAGTTAACCTGACAGTCATGTTCTTGGACTGTAGGAGGAAGCCGGGGAACTAGGAGAGAACAAACTCCACGTAGAAAAAAACACTAGGCCGGGAATGGAACCCAGGACCTTCTTGTTGCAAGGCAACAGTGCCACCAACGTGAAAATACTTTGTATAAAAATTTTATATTTTTCTTTAAACTTTTTTTTTATGTTTAGATGGAATGCCTCAGGGAAGTTGCTACATGTAAGTATGTTGTTGTTGAAGGAATCATTCACATTTTACAAAAAAAGTTTCTGATGAAAGAAGAAACCAGTAGTATCTTCTTTGCTTTATGTTTATTTATTGGTGCAATGTGTAGGACTAATTGCTAATTAATTAGTCTAATGGTTGTTCAAAAAGAAAAAAAAAACAACAAAAACTGCAGTATGGAGTAAAATATCAAAATTGAGCACACCTTGCCTGAAAATGTTTAGTTTTCCATAAAATCCTGTATAAATATGTAATCAAAAATATATTTTTCTGCCAGAATCAAACATTTAAGTTACAAAAAACATTCAACAGGTGACTGCACTGGCACTATAATATTTGAGTCACAAAACTTATTTTGATACCTGCAGGTAGCAAAAACTAAAAAAACAACAAACATTTAATTACATTTGAATCCTAAAGTCAGATTTTTCCTGTCTGACTACAGAAACACTGGGGTTTGAATACCTCTTTTTTTTAGATGAATAGTAATTTGAGCAACATTTGTGTAAATATTTGCAGTAGGACATAAACTGTGCCAACAATTCACCGAAAAAAGTCTGGGGAATCTGAGCCTGGAAAACTCCAGAAAACAAGAAAGAAATAATCCATGACAACACATTTTGATATTGTGTCATTCGCAAGTTCAGGAAATTGGAAGAAAATTACAGAATGAAAGCGCTGGAGGGTAAAACGTTATTAGGTTGAAATGAAAAAAAAAAAAACAACATATAAAATTGTTTTTTCTCCCCAAGATGCTTCAGTCCTGCTTGGTGTCAAATTGTAGCCCGTTTTAAAATACATTTAAAGAACAAAACGTGCAAGCAAAAAGTATTATCTTTTGTAAAGCAGCAACTGTAGACGAGAAAATAGCACATCTTCTTTTAGAGACACAGAAGTATTTTGTTATGAATGACATTTAAGTCACTTGTATTGAAAATGATGGACATCAATGCTAAAAACAGACAACTTTCCAACTGATAGCTATAAAACCTTTTATTGAAGAAATCTGATTTTTGGGGTACTTTACAAGTTAAATGACAGAAACGTGTCTTTCTTTGGTACAAATATCAAGATTTATGAATTTATTGTAAAAATGTGGAGTACTGTAAACAATTCACATCTCTCTCTAAAAGTTATTTTAAGTATTTTATCCCCCCATACACCCCATCACAAAAATAGGGGAATGTCTTCTCTTTTATGGCATTTAAAACACCACAGTTTTGCCAAAATAGATCAAATGTTATCAAAATATTTCTGTACATTTAATTCCAATTCTGATTCATATGAGTTTTGTCCATTTCAAACTATACAGGAACTCTGTTGTTCCTGTATAGTTGCAGTTGTGTCATCCTGGACTGTTCAACAATTCGATTACAAATAATTCCTGGTGATAGATGGTTAGTTTCTGACCATCATCTGATCCCACAGTGGGAGAACATTTCATTCAGCTTTGGGTTCAAACGGGAATTCATCCATGAATTCAGAAAATCCATGAAGACAATCTTCCTGAAAACTGAAGTTTAACTCAGTCTTATAAATAAGAAACACATATGATTTATATTAATCCAGTAGAGCAGAGATTATTAAAAAAATAACAACAACAAAAACAAAAACTGACCATCACTTATAAGGTTTAGTCCCGATGTAATAGTACAGCAATCTGAAGACGCAGAAAGCGATTCTCCTCTGAGATTTTTTTTTGTTTTTGAACAGTTCTGCGGATCCGATCCGGATCCGGTTCTCCTCAGTTCGGACAGGAGCATTTGCACTCGGATATGACCGGGTACTGGATGTGGATCCAGGCGCATCTCTGCGGAGCCTTTTTCTGCGGGCAGTGCCACCTCAGGAAAGTCAAGTGAGTCGCTTTGGCCGGTTTGCACGTCATCCCCTCCGGAACCGAGCAGGACCGCTTGCTGTAGCAGCTGCCCACCTTCAGGTAGCGCGGCCAGAACCGCCAGCCCAGTTCGGTCCACGCGTAAACCACCGGACACAGCGTGTAGGCCCAGAGCATCCTGCGCAGCTTCCGGTTCGCCTTCTGCTTCCTGCCGAACAGCACCTCCAGCTCCAGGGTTCGGATCTCTTTCGGCATCGGTCCGGTGAGCTTCGGGCTCTGGTCCGGCTCGTCCTCGGAGAGGTCCTCCGGCAGGGACACGGACATGAAGTCCGGGTTGAAGTGGCTCCCCAGGAGGCTCCGGAGCTCCGTCCCGTTCAGGTCCTTCTCCTTCGGGTCCAGCTGCGGGTCCGGCTCCTCCTTCAGGACCTCCACGGGGAGGGAGTCGCTGGGGCTGGGGCGGATGAAGTGGTTCAGGTGTTGGCACATCCCGTCCTGGATCCAGAGCGCCAGAGAGAGAAACAGCAGGAGCCAGCGGGAGGGATCCATCCCCCCTGTCTGGTTCCGATCGCCACAGAGCCTCACCAGTCTTCTCCACAAAAAAAAAAAAAAAAAAAAAAAAAAAAGATAATCCAAGAGGGAGTTCAACCCACCTCCAGCCAGGACTAAGTCCGGGATCAGCTCCGGGCTCTGGGCTCCATGGTGGCTGGAGGCTCCTTGGTCCTGCCGGAGCCGAACTGAGTCGATCTGACTCCGGCTGCGCTCACATATTCTGCAGGAGGAGGCTGATGTCATCCAAACCGAGCCACACCTCCGCGCACTTTACGCACGGGCGGATTCCTTTTGGGAGCGACGGAAGGATGAAGTCGCCGGGAAATAACCGATCAGTGGATCAGGAGGAGGTAGAAACAAGTGGAGGTTCGGTGTGTCCGGGTCATTTGGTCGTCTGAAATATCTTAGTGCGCTTAAAATAAGGCAAAATTGACATACAAGTAACTTTTCAGCAAGACGTGAGAGCTTGTTTAAGTCAGAAATGCATTAATGTTGATGCGAGTTCCAGCTCCACCTGAAAGTGTCTTGATATTAATCTAATAATCTCAGAGTTTTCTGCAGCTTGTGCAATTCTTCAGGTTCTGCTAAGGCTCAAAAACACAAATACTTTAAAGAAACAGTTTCTGATCAGAGAATAAGACCTGAGTTGTGGAAACAATGACTTGACAGCCAACAACGTCCATACTTGCTGGCTCCTTTTGCACGGAGCCATGTTGGTAGGCTTTGAAACTCCTGTCCAGACTTAGACAGGACAGAAGTTGAAAGTGGTAGAGCGAGTCGCCTGTTTATTGTCAGCGATCACACGAGAACGCAGCAGCTGGAAAATTCACAGTTTTTTGTTACAAAAAAAAAAAGTTTTAAAGGGCGACCTTTAAAAACATTTCTCTTAACCGAAGGAAGACCTGCAGAAGACGGTAATTCATCACAGGATTTAACCGTTTTCACACAAATTGTGTTTCTCTCTGATTCTGACAGGTTGTTAAACAAAAAAGCTTTTAGTTGCTGTTTTTAAAAAAAAAAAAAGTATTTCATTTGGTTCTAATTTGTCCGCATGGACACGGATTCCCCTAAAACTGCTTCAGGTTTTAATGCTCACAAGTGTTCAACTCATGTAAAGTCTTGTATTGTTTTTGAAACATTTCTGCTGCCATCTTGCAGTCAGGGTTACGCCAAAATGTCGCCTGGTTTTTCTAATTTGTATAGTTCACGCTAAAACCTACGTCTGGCTTAAATCAACAATCTCCCCCTGAAAACAGAAACCTCTCCGACAATTTAGCCTCAAATGACTGAAAAATAAAGTAGGGGATTCATTTCTCACTGAATCCCCTACTCGTGCATAACTTGCAGTTGACATAAAGCGTTCCTTTTTGAAACACATTCACTCATTTGCAGGCAGCAGCACGCTGCTGACGACCAAGAGATTGCTTCTAAAAACACAGAGGAATGTGCGACCGTGTTGAGTTTGGAGGATCTCGCTCAGAGCAAACAGAGAGACATGCGGCGACAGTCTGGGCTTTTTCTCCTGGCCGCCGCCGCCGCCGCCCTCGCTGCCTCCGGCTCCGGCTGAATTTTGGGGTAATTTTATGGTGGTGACAGTGTGTGACGGGCGCCGTTAAACTGTCATATCTTGCGCACAGAGGAAGTCGGTGGCGGAGAGGTGATGCTCAGATAAGACTTCCTCTCTCTCTCTCCTCTTTCATATCTGGCGCCTTTAAGAGGGGTTTCTTGGGGGAGAGAGCTAAGTTCACACAGGGATGATTTAAGGGCCTAAAGGACTTTTAGGGGTGGTAAGAAAGGTCAATACTGTGTGCTGAGGTCATGGGGTGAGTCCGGCTTTCTGGAGCCACTGAAAACTTAGGCGAATTAGACAAATTGGTGTCCAATTTGAGCTTCTCAACGCAGTTTTTTTTTGCCAACTTTCGTCAATGAGACTCTCGAATATACTGGGTTTATTTGAAAGTTTAGGAAATCTAAATATAGGTCTTCTAGTGGACGATATTAAGCATGTGGTAGGTTCAGGACACATTCCTCAAAGTCTTCTGTAGCTTGAAAAGAGTGTGATTTACAGTCTTTGCTCCCTTCGAGTCTGCAAGCTTTTATATAGTTATCCACTGCCAGAGTCTCCACCATTGTAAAAATGTGAAAGACAATAAAACAGTGTCTGATCTATTATAAGTCTATAATAATTGTCATTTTATGTATTGCTTTATTGGTGGTAAATAGTTTGTTTGACCAGATTTGTTGAAAAAAATAAGTAAAATAAATAAATTGGGCTTTGAAGGGTCTTTCACTTGAAAGGTCTCTCATCTGGAATCTCTGATTATGGAAAAAAAAAATACTTAGCTGCTCCAGTTCACAGAGGATTGAAGACAATTTATTCTTTATGACACTTTCATGTCAAACAGCATTTCAAACTGCAACACAAACCCGCCCCGATGCGACATCCAGGACAGACACTTCAACAGAATGATGGTTTTTCTCCCTTAAACTTTGTAGAATCGGCGAGCGTTCTGGCCATTTTGGAAACTTTAATGATTGAACATCAACATTGACTCAGTCCTGACGCCATTTTAGATTCTTGTGGGTAGATACCGAAAGCCAAGTTTGGCATTTGCCTGTTTTTCGTGTCTGCAATTGCTTAGTTGACCTGTCTCTGCAACCTTGAAGCCGTCTCTCACAAATGGACCGTCCAAATTGCCCCGGCTGTCTCACCATCAAAGCAGCTGCTTGTGGGGAAGGAAGAAGAAAAAAAAAAAAGAGAAAGAAACGACACAAACAACAAACAAAAGATCCTTTTCTCTGCTTCATCTGGCCGGGTCACGAACGACACGGACGGCCTGTTTGTCCGTCATCCTGGGAGGCCTCGGCTGATTCGACATTAAGATTACGCCGCCGCCGTATCCCAACATCAGACGGAACATCTAGGAGGGAGATCAGAACCGAACGAGTCCCCGCAATGAACGCAGAGCCACTGATCCACGGCGTCGCTCCGTATCTCGGGCCGAGCGATGTGAAATCAAAGGGCCGCTTGATTTGGAACATGTGGACCGGTGTCTGTATTCTGCATGTCATGCAGAGGAAAAGAGGAGGTCAGAGGAGGTGGGAGGGGACACAACGGCAAACTTTAAACTATGAAAACCTGTAGCAGTCACTCCGGGAGTTTGATGATAAGTGAGGGAGATTGCTGGTGTTTAAGTGTGATGTAATGTTTTTCATTCTGAAGTTGCACTGCTTACCATCAGACCGACTTGATTCCTCCGAAATAAATCAGAGGGTAGACTGGAGCATAGATTCAAACGACCATTTTTCCTGTAAACTGAAACATTTTCCGTCTCATCTTACTAAATGGACAATGCTACGTGTTTTCCAGGCACTTTGCGCCATTTAGTAGCACAATCAAGCAACTGTGTTACCTTTAGACAAATGTGTGAAAGATAAAAGGAAATTGACTTCGCAATTTGACTTGAAAGTGGGCCTTGGTCTCTTTAAGAAGCTCCAACTCGTTCCGACACTTTATACAGCAACATCAAACAGATTTTTGCCCTCAGCGTCCCTGCAAAAATGTCTTGTTATGAGTGAAATCGCTTGCACTTTCTTAAAATCAATATTAAGAAAATATAACTAGAATAAGCTTGCTGAAAAGTTACTTGTCCTGTTTGATGCTTTCCTGAAATATTTTCACTAGGAACTATAGACCGAAAATACTTGCTAAGATTTTGTATTTTTATAGTGTTATAGAAAAAAAATGTAACACATATTTCCATATTTATACTTATGCAATGTGTTTTTTGTATGCCATAAAAAACATACAAAAAAAAGGGGGGGAAAAAATCATGGCAAGCATTTTCTTCTTCCCAAAAATGTGAAGATTCAGCTGATTTCAGTTCTGAAGGTCTGCCTCAGTCCTTGCTGGATCCTAGAGGGTCGGCACCAGAAAAACATTTCCTACTCGTGAAAGTGAACGACTGTTTCTGGCTGCGCCTCAGCGGCGTTCCTGTGGCTTGGACCGGTGCTGTCGAATGCTCCGAAGTGGACGAGATTCCAGCAGCTGTGTGAGATTCCAGAAGTTTCGCACTTTTCCCCCAAAAGCATCCGGAAACGGCCCGGAGTCTGACTGCTGCCCATCCCTCATGAAACGTTTTACACATTACTGGCACGTTTAGGGCTTCTTTTCTCTTTTTTATAAAAAAAACGTCATATCTGTTCTCCTTAGCATTAGCTTTTTTTTTTTTTTTTTTTTTTAAGAAGCACAAATGGATTATCCTTTTCTGCGTGTACATGTGTGTATGCGTCTCACTCAAGGAAGATGTTGGGTAAACAATAACAACCTTCCAAAAGTCAACGTTTGGCGAAGCTACAGTTTCACACCATTAGGAAAACTTTGTCACCATCACCGATTTAGTCAAGATTTCTACTGAAGAAGAAGTTTTATAAAAAAAAAAGTAACCATTTAGCATTGCGGTATAACAATATTATTGGTCTACAAAACTGCCAGCGTGATTATTCTTTTGAATTTTGGTGGAATTTCTGCTTTTCAGTCAGTCGTCATGTGATTTACAAAAAAAATTTCCTTTCAGCATCAATTAAATGTTTGTTCCACCCCTGAATCTTAATCCTGAGCTGGTAAGAAGGTGACATCACAACTGAATTAAAAAGGAATTACATGCAGAAAATAAAACCAGAATCACAGCAACATCAACTGTGAACCAAATCAATGAGAGCGACTACGCATCTTACGGTCCTTCTCATTGCTTCGATCTGCTTTAGTTGGAGCTAATCCAACAGATTATAGTCTTTTAAACTACCATTAGTCTGGATCGGTTTTAACTAAATAATTAAAACCGATCCAGACTAATGGTGGTTATAATTAACTAATAGAACAAAGATTTTTAACCCCAAATTCAAAAATACCTCCAGGCTCATGGCAGGTGGTGGCAATGGATGGCAAAAATCTGGATTATCAACACGTTTTAAAATGCTAAAAGTGAGTAAAAACACGGATATCTTTTTACTCACTTTTAGCATTTTAAAAAGAAATATTTAAAGCATATTTCAACAGAACAAACAAATGGGCATGCAGGTTTTTAGAGACTGTCGATATTTTGCTTCTTCAAAACACAGAATACACTACACCATGTTTTTATTTTATAGTTTGTTTGCTTTTTTTTAAATTTTTTATTATTATTTCAGCCAAAACTGATAGATACCAAAAAAAAGGTACAGACACCTGCAGCAGAAACAAGTAAATACATTTAGTGCATGTCTGGTTGTAAAGCTGAACTCTGACACTTCACTAATAACACATTCAAACATGATCAAACTCACAAGTTAATACTTCATACGTCTCCGTCGTCGACCCTTCTGGGAACCAGCCTTCAGAATAACAGAAGCTGCCACAGTTAATGCCCCGTTGCATCAAAATATTCAA